CTAGTTGTGTCGATTGTTTGTTGAATGAAACTTTTTAATCATATATAATTGCACTCAATTTTCAATTAAGAAATTGAGAATGTTTTATAATGAAAAAGTTGAAAATTTTATTTGTGAAATCGTTTCATGTTCTCAGAAAAAAATTATGAGCGAATGGAAAAAGTTTTTTAAAAAAAATTATTTTTGCTTCTTTTTTTCATGCCTTAAGAGGATTTTCGAGTGAGTGGAATGGAAGGAAAGTTGAAAAACAATAATTTTTTCAAATATTTCAGCATTAAAAATCATCAAAAGCGATTTTCGAGACAAACTTCAAAAAGCTTTACTTTTTCTTTGTATTCGAAAAGCGATTGAACAATTCAAGAAGTTTAAATTCATAGATAAAATCGAAAAATGATGCTAGAGGTTTTGATTTTGGCGAGAAATCAAGTTAGACTTGAAGTTGGCTATAGTTTGTTTAATATTTATGAAAATATTTGACTAAAAAATTATTTTTTGATTGTAAAATCATTTTTGTTGTATTCTTGCCACTTTTTTGCATTATTTTAGTTCAAATCTACAGGAAATCTGTTCATCCTGATTGATAAAATCAAGAAAAACTTTTCGAGGTGGAAAAACCACGTGATGAACCAAATCATCTTGAAAATTTAAAGTAATGTTGACAGTTCGAACATGAAATTTTCAAATTATGCTAACATCATCAAAAGACAGTCAAGATTTGGAACTAGATTCAAATCCGGTTTTGATATGTATGTACAACATTAATATCTAAGCCAACCAAATTCTAACCAAAACTTTCAATAAAGCACAACAAGAATATCAAGAATGTAATTTCCAATTGAACTACATTAAACCAAAGCATTGACCACAAAAAACATGTCAATATTAATATATAGTCAACACTAATCAGTGTCATTATCAAAACATTCAAGCTTCATATCGAGAATTTTTTCCATTATCTGCATTTGAAGTCCCTAATTGCAAACTTTTTTCATTAATTCATGCATTATTATAAACTTTATCATAACTTTCTCCAAAACCGACTCCATTTCTAACGACAAAAAGTGATTGAAAAGTTTTCTCTTGCTGAAATATTCATAACATCAATAAGGGAAGTGATGAGAGGAAAATTGAAAGTATGAAGCTCATTGTTTACCTTATTCTTTATGACATATTTGTGTTAGCTAGTTTAGTACATATTCCATACATAAATAATCGATATCTTCAGAATAAACACATTTATGAAACTTGAAGAATAAATACATATGATGAAATATGTGCTATGAAGCATAAAAACAATGTCACCACACAATATTTTCTCTTCTTCAGCTACGTTAGTTGAAGAAAAATGTGATTATGGATTAGGATTGTCTAGTCAAGAGTCTTGAGGGATGTGAGGATTAAAACTGCTTGAGATTCAGCTTGTTGAGGTCTTTATCGCTGTTTTGTGGATTGCGGTTGGTTAGTTGTTAAGGAAATTTATCCATAATCCGCTTTTGTGTGATATTGAGTCGATTTCTTAAGGATTAGGCAATATAATCTTGGATTTCTTATTTTAAAAAACTTTTTGCCATACTAAAGATTGTATTTATGCTTACTTTAGCTTATAAATTGGGATTTAAATGAAAATAATTGCAAAAAACTTTTCGAAGTGAGAATATTTTTCAAAATGGCTACCACACGTGACCCCTCCAAAATCTAAGTCTCAAAAATCCTTTAAAGTAATTTCTTCAAATGCAAACATAAAATGCGTCTCTAAATCTATCCCAAAACAACTATTTCACTTCTAAAATTTTCCTTTTCAGCAGACAAGTTCATATCAAAATGAAAATGATGAAATTTTTCCTTCAATATTTCTTCTTCATCTTCATTTTATTTCCTCTTTGCCACAACATGTGCTGTTGATAAGAAAATATAAAAAATAAAACGAGAAAATGAACATAAACTTTAAGAACAATATGTGAGAATCTTACAGTCATCTGTCTTTCAAAGCATTCCACATCGATTTTCAATTTCGTTTTCTTCCTTTTTAAATTGTCATAAAATAAATTCGAGATGAAGTAATAAAAATTTACAGCTCCTCTCTTCATCATCAAAAAATTTCGTTTGACGTTTTCATTATTTATGCTTGTCTGTGATCCATTCAATGAAATGCATGTACACACTTCTATCCACACTTGATTCAGAAAATGAATTTATTTATTGTTGTGTAGGCGTTGATGACGTGCTGCTGAATGAATTGAAATTTTTAAGGTTATAAAATCGTTTTTTTGTTAACTAGTTTAGGAATTAATTTCACGATCTAATGTTTGCTATTTTTTTCTGCCGATATTTGTAGAAAAACTGGACTTAAAGTGTTGCTAAGTGCTTTTAATTTCAAAAAAACTTTTCGAGATGGAGAAAAAAATTTGAATTTTAAAAATACGTTACAAAAATGTTTGTATATAAGTCATTTAAACTTAAAAAGGCCGGTAAATATCCAACAATTTTAAACATAATATCACTTAACAGCCTAGCTTACTAGTCTACAATCCTTGATCAACCCCATTACAAATTCAAAATTTTACACGTACTTACTATTTATTCCGCAATTCATTTAATGAAATGCTACAGTTTCTGTTATATTGCTTACATACTTGATGAAAATTTTCGAACAAAGACTCAACATGAAGGAGCATCATAAGATGAGGAAGGAAGGAAAATAGTGTTGATATCAAGAAAATAAATTTTCTTTACAGATAATTTTATGGGATGCGAGGGAAACATTAAATGATGATGTTGGTAAAATGCAAATGAATTTTATGTATTCAATTCGTATTTATTGTGTGGGTGGAGCCATCAGTTCCTCATCAAGAGAAAGAGAATGAGAATAAAAAGGTTTTATTCCTTTTTTGGGTTTTTTGATGAAGATGCTCTTAAGTACCATACTATTCGATAGTGTGACGAAAACTAACAAATTATTGTTATTAAAAGCATATGTGACCCGTAGAGTTGGGCAAAAAGGGATCTATTTTCACTCAAGTGTTTTTATGCTTGAATATTGAAATGGTGGCTGAATAAACTCAAGTTCAATGTCAATTTTCTGACTCTACAAAAAAAAGTATTCAATGTCAGTCTTAATGGATTTATTGAATGGGAAAATCTTAATAAAAAGTAATCGGATCTTTCAAAAAAAATTGAAGAGTTCCTGACTGACACAATGAAATTCAATACTGGATGTTTCAATATGAAGATTTACAGAAGTGCCTTTTCAATTGAATTTATCATGCTGCATTGCATTTGAAAACATTTTACTTTTCAATTTTGAGGTTAGGATTTTGTATTTATAGATTATTGTAAAGAAAATTGGATTTTTTTTTCAAGTTTACTCTAAAGAGGATTTGATATTGTGGGAAATTGGTAGGAAAATTGGATGATGGTGATTTGGATTTTGTAAAGTGTATTGATAAACCAAGAACTGGTTGAGTGAGTCAGAATAACTGAGTTTTTCTTAAAAACTCTTGCCGACATGAGTTCAAAAGCTAGAATTTTCAAATCGAGCTCCCGAAATCTCTGGTTCGAATCCCACAACTTTTTAAATAAATAAAGGTAACTTTCCTAATTTCCATAAATCATCTCAGCTTCTTTTTCTCTTATTTCAAGTCCCTTATCATAACCTCAAATAACAATAAAACTCTATCACACCCGCCCATCTATTCCTGAAACAAAACACCATAAAACAATGGCAATATCAGCACAAGTTAATTTCTATCATAAATAAATTACTCATAAGCTCTTACATACTATGTTTATGAAGAACTAAACATAATAAATATTCATTAAATTTATGATGATGTAATAAGATCATAATTTGTAATGCTTCATTTCATTATAAAAAGATCTTCTTGACTTTTCCGCCATTTTTGTCGGGTCAATAACATTAAATTACATCATAAGATGATTTTGAATATTGATGAAAATGGAATAGGAAATAAGAAATAGGATTAGATGTACTTATAAATGTATTTTTTTTGTGTATTGGGTATTTCTTGGTGAAGGGTTTTGTAGCAATGATTTGTCTATATGGGGATTTAGAAATGTTGAAGCATAGCTTCAGCTACAGCTTGAAACTTAGCTAATCTTCAGTTCAGCTTCAGACTAAAGTTCTGCTTAAGCTTCGCTTTAGATTCAAGCTCAGCTCCAGTTCAGTTTGAGATTTAGGCTCAGTTTATGTTCAGCTTTAGATGTAAGCTTTGCTTAGCTTAGCTTCAGCATAAAATTCACTTTCATTTCAATTTTAGATTTAGGCTCAGCTTAGCTTCAGCTTTAGATTTAAATACAGCTTAGATTCAGCATCAAGCTCAACTTCAGCATCAAGCTCAGCTTCAGTATCAAGCTCAGCTTCAGTATCAAGCTCAGCTTCAATTTAAAGCTCGGCTTTGATCTCAGCTAGTCCAATTCAATTTCAATAAAACAGCGCTTCAACCACAAAATTGGCAAACTTTTTCACATGCCACCACAAAACTCATTCAGACCAACGATAGCGCATAACAAGAAGAAGAGGCCAATAGGGTAATATCTGAAAATTAATGAGAGAAATGAGAAATATTTCTATAAAGCCACGAGGGAATCGAGGCAAAATCCTCTCACACAATAAAAACGGAATCTATAATCGTCTTTATTTGCTTAGTAATGGCCAATTTCACTATGCCTATCATATTCCACTTCCCTCGAAACAGCACCATTGATGCGAAAATAAAATTGCCTTAGAATAAACGTCTGTGAATGGAGCAAAAAAGAGGAAAGATGAAAATATGATTCTTTTAAATGGTTTTGAGTATTATCATTGCGATAATTTTCTTTTCTGCTACTCTGAGCTTTAGATATTGAGTTGTGTGTATTCCTTAGGGAAATTTTTATTGGGATTTGTTATCTGATGCTGATCAGATTTAATGTTCTTAGTGTAGGATGAGAAAAAAATTGTTCGAAATAATCTTAAAGTATATTTTAAGATAATTATGAGCTTTTAAGATTTAATCTGATTCCTTCAATTATCTCGGCTAGTTCATGCACCTCTGTCAAATTCCTAAATCATGCTTCCGCTCATCTAAAGCACTAAAGCTCCTAGATTCGATTAAATCATAAAACTTACACTTTATTGTATAAAACCTCAATTAAAAATTATTTATATCAACTCATTCTGACCAGATAGCAGCTTGTCGTCATTACATTTCACAATATTCTTAGTCTCCTGTGTCCGTCCAAAAGATCTCGCAATTTCCTCAATATCTCGTCCTTTTGTCTCAGGCAAATAAACCATTGTGAATATTCCACAAAGACATGAAGCTATAGCAAAGAATATCATGATTGTGTCGATTCCAAGAGATTCCTCAAATGATGGATACAGTTTTATGACTAAGAAGCCAGCGATCCACAACCACCAAGAACATATTGAGACGATTGGTCCTCGAACCTAGAAAGAATGATAAATTAAACATTATTTCATCAAATCTTGAATTTCTCACCTTTTGATCCAAAATTTCAGTCAAATAAAAATTGGGTACTGGAACCATTCCAATACAGCAAACAAAAATTTGAACCAACAAGCTCACAAGAGCAATCCAAGACACACTTGTTAAATCCATAGACGTTCTCGTGCTAAGCAACATGTAGACACCAAAAATAGCCAAGCATAACGCTGTTGCAAACGATGAACTTATCAAAATTATTCGTCGACCAATTTTATCAACATACTTGGCTGTACAGATGCCAGCAACAATTTGAATAAATGCAAAGGCAAGTGACGACCAGAACACACTTAAAAATGAAACATTTGCTGCTTTAAAGATGCCTTGATTGTAGGCAACCAGCACATATGAGCCTGACATGATTGGAAATTGGGCAACGACAATTGCAATAAAAATTCCTTTGATTGTGCCTGGCTGTGAAATGTGCTGTTTAAAGACCTTCCATTGTGATTCCGACTTTTCTGAGCCTTCAGCAATTTGTTTCAATAAATTGAAATCTTCCAAATGAGCATCTGAAAGCTCTTCTGATGGCTGTTGTCCTCTGAGGAATTTAAAAGCATTTTCTGCTTCCTCAAATCTTCTCTTTGAGATCAAATAAAGCGGTGATTCAGGCATAAACCAAAATCCTACAACAAAGATTATTGAGACTATGACAACAAAGATTGCGGCATGTCTAAAGTCCATATATTCAGCTATGAAAAATTCTAGAAACACTCCAATGCTACAAATGATTGAGAATAATGAACATAAAGTTCCGCGAATCTGTTTGTCTGATATTTCCGCGACATAAACAGGCGCAACATAAAAACATCCAGCACCAGCAATACCACAGAGTAAGCGTGAAATGTAGATTATTGTGACATTATCAGCAAGTGCCATTAATATCCAGCTCAACTAAAATGTGAAATATGTTAGGTGTTGACAATGGACCGGAAAATTATCATCACATACCGTTTGGGGAATTCCAATAAATAAAACTGCAGCTTTACGTCCAAATCGTTCTGAAATCCATCCGTAAACGAAAACAAATGCAATTGCACCGAATGGAGATAAGGAAGTAATCCATGATATCTGTTCGGGAGTTAGCTTTCCATCCTTTAATGGAGTCTCATCGGATATGAATAGTTGGATGTTTGGGCCGGTGAAACCAACGGCTATGCCAAATATGAAGGCTGTTAACTGAACTGGAAGTAAATTGGACATTGTCAAAATTAAATGCTGCTGCTACTGACAAGCACTAGACATTTTATGTCTGATATAATCTTAATTATAATATTGACATAATTAAATCTTATCAAACCTTATCATTTTTATCTCAGATAGGTATTAATCACTTATGACGAACCTTATAAATGGAATTTGCATCCCAATAGACCCTTAATCACCAGTGCTATAACATTTGAGCTCCTAAAATAATCAGACATACTTAACATCTTACCGATCTTTAATGCTCAATTTATAAACAATCATTTCCATAAGAATTTTACTAAACCGGTTCTTAATAATTATCATCTCGCTGTCTGATAACTGTCCATCCCAAAAATATAATAATTTAAATAATCATCAACTGTAACAACCTTGAGTCTAACACAATAAATACAAAAATTTGAACCACTAAACCGGTTTTAAATCAAAAATTCTTATTATTTTTGACCGTACTTCCACAATGTCTACTCTAAAAATTACAAAATACGTGTAGCAACCATCAAGTGCTCGTGACTAAATAAATAATTACCAATAAAAGTTGCCAGGTATTGATTCCGATACTCTTTTTGAAGTATTTGGAGTTCCATAATGAGCTTGTCTTACCGCAACAAAGTTTTAGTTGTTACTGAACAGCAAGTGGATATAAAACAAGCATGAACTAAGGTAGATAACGCTGAGTATATAGAAAAGAGAATTTTATGGTTCAGAGTGGGAATTAAGTGAATGTTGGTCAGGAGAACTTAAATTGATTGGATTTTGAGGCAATTGAACTTTTAGATCTAGTTTCTGAAACTCAATTATGTGTCATATAATTTGACACTCAAGGTCGCCATGTGTATCCCGTTTAAACTTTGTCTGCATGACAACCAAGAGTATGAATGGCTGCAGCTTGTTTCTTATGAGAATCGAACTTACATTCTGAATAGAAAGGGTTTTATAAATTAGATATGTCTGCTAACCACTCAGTCATAGAATCTTTAGTCTGATAATGGCTGATTCGGCTACATATTGCTTGATATCTTAGATTCAACTTTGCTAAGAAATTACATTAGAAGATGAATATATAAATTTAATCTAGACTGTAAGTTGAAGTATAATTGTGATTAAGGACATTTTACCCACCCCCCCCCCCCCCCTCGACCCTTCCACTCTTAATCAAATACTAATTTGATCAAGATCCAAAACATGTTCACATGAACCTCCTTCATAAAATAATTCAACAAATTGTTCTTCTCCGATAACACTTTTAATTAAATCAATTGACTCACACCATTCAAGCAATCAAAATGAAAATGATCAAACAAAAAACTTGATAAGCATTTCTGACATACACAAAAAAATCATCTCAATGCCAAAACAAGAGCAAAAAAATTATAATTGCCATTAAATGTGTATAAATCGGAAGTTTTAGTTATTCGGGTGGAAGAGAAGAAATTTTTCAGATAGCAAAGTTTATAATTAGCTTTTATCATTCTTTATCCATCCGTTAGTCGACGCTTCTTCATTCATTCATTCCATTTCGTCTATCTTCTGCCAGAACTTGATAATGTCGAATGTTAAATAATAAGCGGCAACAAGAAGAAAGAGGATGGAAAAATATTTTTAATAATTTTGTTGTTGCCGTTCCCGTTGATGTTAAAGTTCGTCATGAAATAGGAATCATATCGCAATAACATTAATTTAATACCGAGAGATCCAAAAATTCGTCTAATGATGATAGCGGAATAAAAAAATAATAATAATAACAATATTAACCGAGAACTGAGCTGTATTCAATATTGTGAAAAGTGGCAGCTTCGAGTTGTGCCAATGCTTATTGCTATAATAATGGCAAAAGCGATTCTCAACGCCGAGGAGAGAAATGAATGGAAAATGGAAAAGAAATGAACCCAAAAATGCCAATAGCAAGCACATTGCCACAAATACATATTATTTTTTCTGTGGGGAGGAGGTGGTGGGGGACTCATCTGGGAAAGGAAGGAAAAAGCAAAAAAAGGGATGCTAATGTTCCTATATTTCATGTTTCATCTCGACAACTGTCGCTTGAAGTAACTTTTGAGAATATTAAGCATCTACTTATTTGTTGGCTGGATATTCTGACAACGGTGCGATTTCAATGCTCACTTTGGGTTAGGCAAAATGATTAGGAGACAAAAATTAATCAAAATTTAAAAGTTTATCCTGGTTTTTTGAGAAATTGATGATTTATAAGTCAGGTGATATACATTCATTCAATTTGTGCCACTTTTTTACTTCAATTAGGCTCTTAATCGAATTAAGATACTAAACATAGCTAAAATTATTCACGAAATACTTTTTGAGGTGAGAAAAATTCGCCATTTCGTTTTTTCAAAAAACATTTTAAGTTCAAAATTTCAGTAGATTTTGTAAGCTATTTGTTCATAAGTTCAAGTCCTGCCTCTAAATAATGCGTTATAGCTACCAAAAAGCTCATAAAACTCAAAGCTTTAAATTTTTTCAATGGCAATTTTTCCTCTATCTTTAAAATTCTTTAAAGCCAACAGTTTTTACCATGAATTATTTCAATCCATTTCTCTGCGCGTAATAGCAATAATATTACAGGGATGAGACAAGCAAAAGGCAATAAAGGTGGTGGGAGTTTAATTAAATTTAAGGAACTGTGACGAAATTAATATGATCGTGTGCTCGTCGAATTGTACATGAGATGAAAGCAAAATGTCTTTTGATATTTTAAGGTATCATTGGTGGAATTGAAAGTGAAGGTAGAATTTTATGGTGCGTAGATGTTAAGTCCATCTATTTTCAGCTTTAATATAGAACTTAGGGGAGGGCTGACCTTGAAATGTAGAAAAATAACAATTTCCGTCCTTAATCTAATAATGTTTTACAATCATCTGAAAATATCCCCACCCATCCTATAAAAAATTGCCTTAAAATAAAATAATGTAAAAACTAGATCAAAATATGTAGGCATGACGCAACGAATAGAAGAGCTGCCAATCTACCAACACATTCACGCATAAACACACATCGGATCATATTATTCAATCTTCCATCAATGCGGATCCATTCACATGTCCTTTACGCTGTCTTGAAAGATAAAATTAATCTATCCATAATACGGGTTCCGGAAAGGGGAAGATGGTTCATGTTAAAATAAGAATCTATTGAAATGTGAAAATAGAAAAAAAGAAGAGAGATGGCAAAGAGGAATAGAAAGAATGTCGAACTTATTGAATCATGCATGATACATCATGTATCATTGTGTCTTGACCGATTTTTGCCTTTATATGCTCGGAACATTGAGAAAGAGTCATATGAATTTCATTTCGATTGAGTGGAGAATTTATTTTAAGGTTATTGTGAACGGATGTGAGGAAATTGGCATACAGATGGCAAATTTGAAATGAATTTTAGCTAAATCTTGATTGAAAACATTGAAAAGTTAATCAAAACATTGTAAAAAGCATTCAAACTTGACAAAACATTGAAATATTATTCCATCGATTATGTAAAATGTCCTCAAGCAAAATTGAACTCAAAGCTGCTTATATGCTGCAGCCATCCAAAAAATAAAGATGAAAGGAGAGAAGCACTCGAAGGCACTCATGAGATGAAAACTAAGAAAAATGAATGTGAATGTAAAAAAGGGCATTTTTCACATTATTTCTCTCAACTAGAGCCCCCCCCCCCCCACCTCCCTCCAACTTCCATTCAAGCAAATGCAAACATTTAATTTTTCAGTACAAAAAAATAGGATATTGAGTGGACGTTGGAGAATGCTTGATGAGCGTTTGCAAAGTAAATAAAAGGATGAAAAAGATAAATAAATGGAACGAGAAAAAGTTGAGAATTTTTACATGCAATTTTACTAATCGGAATTGAAATTTAACGGTCTATAAATTTTTGAATTTATTTATATTTTTTTGTTGAGCTTGAATGAGATAAATTGTCCAGGGATGAGGCAGGAATGAGGAGATTTAATGTGTTGCAAAACATAAATCGAGAAAAAAGATTCAAAAATTCAAAAATTTTAAATTTCTGTTAAAAATTCAAATTTTAAATTTCCGTTAAACTTTTGAATTCAATATTTTCGTTAAGGTTTTCAAATATTTTGACTAAATCTACCCTTTTAATATTAATAGAACTTCTCTTCCCTAAAATTGAATTTCACAAAATAATATCCAAATATAAAACTTAGTCATGCGACAAACAAAATGACCATTAGAAAAATATATACATAAATCCAACACATGGTGATTTATAACTCGTCCTTAATGTTCTGTAAAAAAAATCTCAAACTATGGCAATATCCGCTAAATTTAAACTCTCTCTTCTATTGACATAATATTCGTATTCAAGGATCGTAATTTAAAGAAAGAAATAAATATAAAAAAAAGTTCATTTTTCTTATTTGACTTGCGGAGAATGGCAAATAGGCTTTCTTTGCTATCCCGTTCCAGTTTCTTGACCAAAATGTTGTCATAGACATTCGAGAAGAAAAAAAAATTGAGATGATTTTTCATTTTAACTTGACAAACTTCGAGCGTTTTGAAATTCTTTATAATGTTTCTCTGTCAGGGGTGTATTTACGGGTCCTAAAGTCATGCAAAGGAATGTAATGGCGTTCAAGGAGTGTTCAAGAGTGTTGAGGGGGATGCAAGTCATTCGAGGGGTGTTCAAGAGTGTTGAAGGGGCATGTAAGCCATTCAAGGGGTGTTTAAAAGTGTTTAAGAGATATTCAAGTCTTTCAAAGGGTATCCAAGCAGTGTCTAAGGCAGTGTTGTCCAAACTTATTGAGCCACGGCATACCTTAAGGGTGAACCATGACCGAAGTTGCACACAAAATGCGGCTTAAGTCATTTCTAAAAAAAATCTACAGAACACTAGTGTGCCGCGGCACACAATTTGGACAACACTGGTATATGAGGTATCCAAGTCATTCAAGGGGTCTTCAAGAGAGCTTAAGGGGTATCCAAGTTGTTCAATTAGTGTTTAAGGGGTATTCAAGTCATTCAATTAGTGTCAAAAACGTTTAAGGGGTATCAAACATATTAAAAGGGTATTTAAGTAGTTTAAGGGATGTACAAGTCATTCAAGGGGAGTCCAAGGGGTTTAAGTCGTTAAAGGTTCGTAAAACGTGTCGTAAGTCTGCATCTCGAGTAAACTCTAGTAATAACCTCGAATCTAGAATGAGCTGGACCCCTCAAAAATTCCTAGCTTTACTCCTCTGTTCGACAACTTATTCATAACATTAACAACGCCATGCATGTGTGCGAGTAAATAAGTAAAAACTTTGGGACTCATGAACGTGGTAAATTTTGTGTGAATGCTGGGGAAGATAAAATAAGAAGATCCTTCATTCCACAAATACATAAACCATAAATTAGAGACTTAAAGAATGCATGAGCTATTAAGTTTTATTAAGTTTAAGGAATCTTTCCATCCAGAAAAAAATTAAAATTGTCGTCTCATAATTCTCATATGCTACACATTTTTATATGCTTCACTTCATGTTTAAAAAAAACTTTTATGTTGTGCACAATTTTGAAACATTATAATAAATTTATACAGCGAGTATGAGTAGCAAGCAGCTTCGAAGCAATTATGACTTGATGATTTTCATTAAGAAAAGATATTAACATATATGTTTATTAATTAACTTTAATTTTCATTATGAA